AACTATACACTTAACGGATTTAGTCATTCAACTATTCAAAAACTTGTCAGTTTTGGTCCATTACCTATACACTTATCGATTTTAGTCCCTTAACTATAAACTTACCTATTTTAGTCCTTTAAGTATTCAAAAACTTATCAAGTTTGGTATTTGTCCATTTTTTTAATACAAATAGCTTTGGTTTATATTAACAGAATCTATGCCTCGAGAAATTTAATCCTTTAGCAACTTTTTCTGTTGGTTCTCTCTCCGTTACTTTTTCTTCAAATTAACCTTACGCGAAAAACCTTAACCTCAACGATTTAAAATAAAATTTACGAGGAAAGAAAATATAAATCATAATTTTATTCAACAGATGATAAAATGAAGCATATTATTGTAACTAGTGACTTGAATATGTTAAACTTTATTATAAAAAGAAAAAAGTTATTATCCGTTAAATCCAAAGTTTGTACTCCAACGATTCCATTGAACATATTTTGTTTAATTTTTCAAAAATGGTAATTTATAAAATGGTAGATTTGCAATTTTTTAAACTTTTTTTTAAATAGATCAATTTAATTATTCTATCCATTTTATTTTACGTAAAGAAATTTGAGTAAATTAAATAAAATTCTCATTGATTAGCATGATAAGTTTCTCGAACAAAAACTATCAAAGTTTAGGATGGTGCGTATTAAAAACCAAAGTTATTTGTATTTAAAAAAAATGGACAAAGATCAAACTTGATAAGTTTGTGAATAACTAAAATCGGTAAATTTATAGTTAAGGGACTAAAATCGATAAGTGTATAGTTAAGGGACCAAAGCTGACAAATTTTTGAATAGTTAAAGGACTAAATCTATTAAGTGTATAGTTCAGAGACCATTTTAGACCTACTCCTATAGTTGAGGGACTATTTGTGTGATTTACTCCATCATATCACGTTACATAGTTGCAAACAATTTTGATAATGACCCCACAACCTTCCTAAGTAAAAATTGTTAAATTACTATACCTAAATTAAATAGATTAATATGAACTTACTAAATTATACTAAGATTATGTCACTGATACTTAAATATGTCTATGGAATTAGTCACCCCTAAGAATTGTCTAAATCGCAAAAGGCAAATCTTATGCGACAAACTCAGCTCAGAAGGTATTGAAGGGGAATTGACTCCCGATCATTTGTATGAATGAGTGAATGACCACCCTCCAAATTAACTGAGTCATCCCGAAGGACAATTATTGAAGTTTATCATCCTAGATATTGTAAGATCATACTGCATACAAGAATCAACTTTGAAGTTTGAATTAGTCCGTTGGTTTTGTGGTTTGAATTGTGAAATAAGTAGACATTTAATAGCTTGTTAGAGTTATGGATATATTAATAATGTATATATTATTTATGAGAGAATATATCTATATATATACTACCTTAAAAGAATGAACTCCAAACTTGAATGTTGAATTACTATAATACCCCCAATTAAAAACACTTAATTTATTTTATTTATTAATTTACTTAATTTTATTATATTGAAAGTAGATACATTTTAAAATTAAAGGATTGTGACTTTTTCAATGAGTTGTGACTTTTTCAAAGGGTTGTGACTTTTTTGACGGGTTGTGACTTTTTCAATGAGTTGTGACTTTTCCAAAGTGTTGTGATTTTTTTAATGGATTGTGACTTTTCTGATGAGTTGTGCCTTTTTCAAAGGGGTGTTACTTTTTCGATAAGCAATGACTTTTATCGAAAGGTTATAACTTCTCGGATAAGACACAATTAACACCTATTCATACTACTATTTGGTAGCTATAAATAGAGGAGTTTCCTCACACCTTTAAACTACAGTTTCTTTAAGTTCTCTACTCTTCTTCTTCTTAAAAAATCTCAAGTGTTATTTGCAAAAAATAATTAAGTTCGAAATTCAACAAAATTCGAGGTACCTCATAAGAAAGAGTTGGTGAAAAAATTGTAGCAAATCATTCATCAATTCACACTCGTATTTTTTCTTACCATTTTCATGAGTTAACAGTGACAAAAAGTTATGGGAGAGACAATAATATTAAACAGATATGAAAAAAAGCATATGATTTGGGTAAGATATTTCTTCTTTGTTTTTTTATTTTTTATTCTTTTCCCTCAAACGAAGGAGTTTCTTCCTAATTTTGCTAAAACAGTGGGTATCAACGTAGTCCATTGAATTATTAATTTTGATGTTAAATTCACTATTTCAAAAATAGATTTTTACTTTTACTTATAATATGATAGCATAGCCATGATAATAATTAGTTTTAATGGATATGTATGTAAAAATGAATGGAGAAAGTAAAGTGTTGGTGGCAAGAGATTTAAATCAAATGGAACACTAGAGTGAATATAGCATGAACATATATTTTTGTCTTCCTTCTTTATTGGCTATGTATTGTTCCATATAATTTTTCTTTATGTCACAAGATACACTCCTTACTAGATATATAAAAATAGATAAGAAAAATAGTGATTGATCATAAGATGATGTTAAATCAAATTAATGATTCTATAAATAGTACTTTAAATTTTATTCATCTATTAATTTTTATCTTTGAAAAATTTAATTTTTTTATATCATGACACAACTTCTATAAGACATTAGATACTTTCATTAGACAACAACTATATTATATGTATGCGGCAGAAAAAAGTAGAAGGCTACAATTCCACAAAGATAATTAAGGTAGAAACTTAATGAAATAAAATATTTTTCACCATAGATGATGTTATTCATATATTAAAATTAAATTATTCTACTGAAGTATATATAACCATCATTCATGATAACAACCAAGTACAATTTTTTTGGTAAAATTACCTCTCTATGATAGACTTACTCAAATATTAATTGAGTAATAATATTTTGTAAATGATATGTTACATATAAAGATAAAATATTGAAATATTTATGTGGTAATTCTTATTAGTGTCATGCACATACTAAATATCAAGTAGGAATATTTAAGACAAAATTTCAACTTAAATGGTTTACATCATTTATGTTCATAACCTCAAGAGGAAAGGCCATTCATGAACATTTTTTGAATGAATATTTTTTTTTCTATTTGTTGGTTAGATTTGTTTACAAAATTGAGTGAAGTAAGAAATAATATTATTAAAGAAATGTCACTTTCTCCCATATTTAAACTTTGAATGTATTTTGAAATGTTTTAATGATGTCTGGTCATTTTTACCTCAAAATACAAGTAACTATGTGACAATATGTATTAATAATTTAAAAACGCTTGTCCTATGTTTGTTCAATTATAATTATTTACTAAAAAGCTTTAATTTAGTAATATTAATTCTATTTTACAACATCATATTCTATATATAGATACACAGTTGCACGTGCCGTAAAACTAATATATATATATTATTTTGTGCAGATATTATTTCACCTTCTATATTCTCTCATAATTGATACATGTATTAGTTAGGTGAGTTTCTAAATATCAAATATCATATTATATAATTTTATAAACGAATAATTTATCTTTTAACCAATTACTTAAACACTATATTGCTTATATTATATTTAATACCTACAGAATTCACTTTCGAACCAGCTACCAAACCACCCTATGGGTGTGGAAATGAAGGAATTTCCTTCCAAGTGTGGGGCATAATGTTGAAGAAAATTCGAGGCTTCAACCAAAAGAGGTTAGAGGAGTTTCATAAATATAGCAAATGGCTTTTCCAAAGAGGTGGACCCCTGATGAGAAAAATATTTCCACATGTCCATGGAATTTTTTTTCTCATTTTCTAAAATGGTGATGTAATGTTAATCCTTGTTTGGTTTTATGTAATTTTATCTCATTTATCATTTCCAATGACAATAACATTTAACCAAACATATCCACGCTTGTCAACAGCACTCTATTTTGTTCTTAATTTTTTTAGCCCCTCAACAAAAAAAAGGACATCATTTTATAACTTTATTATATTTGAAATTTTACATGTGGAAAGAAATTACGACAATAATAACATATTTGGTAATTGATACAATTCAACGAATTAAGTTTGAAGAGAATAAAGTGTACATAAATGTTATATTTTCATCCTGTGAGGCCAAAGACTGTTTCTAATATATCTTCAGGAAGGAAATTCTCAACGATGACCTTATAACATTAGGAAATTCAATCTTAACTATTATATTATGTTGAGTCTTAGCTTATCCAAACGAGTAAACATATTTTAATGGGAAATTAAAGATAGTGGAGGAACCAAATATCTTTTAGATATTTGTCTTTTCTTTAAATAAATTCACTTTACTAGTTCTCATTCTAAGGGGATATGTTGAGATGTTTTGGTTTTTGGCATTTTGTAAAATGGAAGTGGCAACTTTTCTCACCATTTATGATAAAGATATGTGTGATAATTTAAATTTTGAATTGAGATGTTATTCCAACTATTTTAAAGTATATTTTCAGACTATTCAATTACTGTTTTGTCATTGTTTGGGAAGTATAGGAAAGGGTAATAAAGGAATTGGAGTTTATAACAATTATTTTTAGTCAAAAGTATTGGTTTGGTATGAAGGGAGGGAGGAATGTCTATGTACATGTAGTTAGTGAATTACCAGTGTCACACATGCCATGACAAATCATTGAAATGGGCTTGAGTTGACAGGTGGGTATTTAGGTGCCCATTCAGACAAAACATTTAATCATCATCCACAAAACCCTAAACTTTTCTAGTCAATATTAGATCGAGTTCAACATTGATTTATTACTTCAGTGACCTAAAAGTGTTTGCTTCGTCGTTTTCTTTTATTCACGGGTAAAGCGTAATGGCAGCACATAATTTATACTTATCAAATCAATGAACGCAAGATATATAATGCTGAGGTTAAAATACTTAATTTGATATAAATACAGTATTTAGTAGTACTATCGTTGTGGCAAACTTTATATTAAACTCATCCTATCCTTTTTCTTCAAGTGAAAAAATGGAAAATCACAAAATGCATTGCATGATATATAAAGGAACATATAATCTTGAAGAAGCATAGAATAATGAAACTCAATCTCCACTCAAAATGTACACATGAACATGGCACATAATCTACTCAAGATAAACAGAATTATACTATAAACTCATGCCCTACTACTTTTATTTTATTATTTTTATATGAAAGTTCATATACCTTTCATTAAACAGCTTCAAGAATCACACTGTAGGTTTGACTTTAGCAGCTTCTTGAGTTCTCATATCGGAGCTAACCACCGCTTGCGGCGGCATTGCGTGGTACTGCGGTTGTTGTTGTGGTGGCGCCATGACACCACCTTGGGGAGGATAGTACATCTGCCTTCCTACTCCACCATCGTACGCCATTTGTGTGTATCCACCTGCATCTGCTACACCAACTCCCATGGTAGTTGCGGGTCTTACCATGCCATATCCTTCCGAATAACCAGCCACCTTTGGAGGTCCCTGAGATTGTAAAGTTGGTGGTGCCGCTGCAACTGTCGGCACTGCTTGTGGTAAACTAGGCATGACATTGTAAACTGGTTGATCCCTGTACGGCTCCTGTGGCATCCTCTGAACGGCGTAGTACCCTTGTCCCGGTGGTCCGGCCATTGGCCTGACAAATTGAGGGTGCTGGTGTTGGTGCTGGTGTGGGTGATATGCTCCGGCGGGTGCTTGATGAATCATGTAAACTGGTTGTTCCATACCGAGACTGCTCGCCGGTAGTACTCCTCCGGGGACTTGTTTTTCCTGCCAATAGCCAACCTGTGCAGGTACTGTACCCGGCACGGTAGGAGAAGCTATTTTCTCCGGTCCCCTCTGAACATAATAGTCACCTCCGGGGAAAGCCGCTGCCAGATTATCGTCGTTTTTCCGACGATACATATTTTGTTGCTCTTCTAGATGCAATCTCTGCAGATCCTGAATGTGCTTCTGGATCGGATCAGTCCCCATCATCCTATCATCCACTCCATGAACCGGCATCTCCGGTTCCTTAACAACTTGCTCAGCATTCGGATCTCTCAATTTCACATGTGGCGGTACCATCCCCTTCTCTGAACCAAACAGAAAATCCGCGTTTCCAACCTGCTGTGGAACAGCCCCCGCAGTCGGAGACGCATGAATCGGACCAGAATTCAACGCATCCACAAACCTATCCTTCTCCGATTTCGAATCCTCCGAACCAAAACTCCGGCTCTGCGACACCTCACTCCCAACAGTCGCCGGCGGATTCGCCGGAAACAAAAACAACCTAAGCCTAGCTGGTTTAGGTGAAGCTCTATAAAGACGATCATACTCATGCATCATATGTTCTAGATCATCATCATTAGTAACAGAAATCAAAGCATCAAGGTCCTCACCTGGAAGCTGATACTTAAAGGAAACAGTATCAGTATCACAAATAGCAGCAAGCTTAGAAATGAGAACAGGAAACTTAGTATTCCGCTCAACAGAGAGTATTTTAGTTTCACCGCCGATGTAAGCAAGCTGGTTATCATGAGGTCTAGGGTGAATCTTACCACCATAACTACACATGAATTTGACCTTGTAATTAGGGATTTGATTCGGATCTTCCCATGCGGCAGTGTTTTCAAAATCAATTTCACGGGAACGGGGAGATGAATCGCCGGATTCAGGGTAAGAGGTGTAAGAGTAGTTCTCCATTTTTGGGGGTTTAGGAGGATTTTCTACTGTTTTTTGATAAGTGGAGTCAGGCCATTAGTGAAAATAATGAAGAAGATGGAGGATTTTAAGAGGGCTGTTAGAGAGGGGAATTACTATTCTCACCCGTGACTTTACGGAAAGTGTGTGCAACTTGTTGCGATTGATTTGAGTAGAAAATTACGCCAAGTAACACGAACTCATCATGCTATGAGTCAATAAATGAAAAGTATAATCGTTAAACACGAATTATGTAATTATAATTAATACAAATAATTTTAATTTGAAATATATAAATCACTAAGCTACCAAATTTAATATTTGTCAAACTAACTATTTAGTAACTAATTACATTAATACTATTTTCTTCAACATTAACTAATACATCAAGGGTAAAATATTTATTTATTTTTAAGCAGATGTCTCAGGTTTGACTCCCCTCTAATAACATACTCGCCTTTGGTAGGAAGCATTTTACTTTCAATGTGGAATTTTCTGATGTAAATTCAAATTTAGTCGGACTTTAATGTGAATATCGAACACCGAATAAAAAATAAAAATAAAATCAAATACCATAATGTCAAGTGGCACGAAATGAGTTACTTAGCTTATTTATTTTGAGATGATATTAAATATCAATATTGGCTAGTCTGACATATGGTGGTCAATTTAAAACTTCGACATTATTCATCACACTGTCTATCATCCCCAAAGCTGTCAAAAAGGGTCGGCTCAACTCCATCCGGTCCAAGCCTCGCGGGTCAAGGAATTTGAAAGGTTGGGGCAGACTGGCCCTTCATTCGGAAGGGCTTGAATATGCTCAATTCAACCCAACCCTTGAAGGGTCGAGGGCTAGGGCGGGCTAGCCCTTCTTTTTTTTATTTTTTTATTTTCAAACTTATAATTCTATAACATCAAGAAAATGAGAAGATTTTCAAATCAAATATGACAAACAATGGTATTGTTTTAATAACACTAGCAAAATGCCTAGATGTATCTCATATACCAGATACGCGAGCGAGATAAGTAAGTGATAAGCAAGATTGGAGGGAGGCGAGGGTGCGAGATTTTGTCTATGCATCCTAGATACCTGCATATCTATTTTGATAGAGTGTATCTAGAACATATTAACCTAATTTTGAATCCATATATTCTGAGATATATGTATTTGGACGTACCAAAATCTGGTAAGATTCATAATATTACAACATAACGTGTATATAAGTAATTAAATTATATACTAGTTAGATTATTGTAAGTTACCCTAATAAAAAGTTTTGACCCATGAGCCAATCCCGGCCCGGCCCCAATCAAGCCTCAAGGGCCAAGGGCTTATATGGGCCGGGCTTATAAGCCCTAGATTTAAAAGAGCTTGAAAAATTATATTCCAACCCTATCCCAATAACAGATTGGGTTGGACTTACCACATTGGCTAAGCCCATTTTGACGGCTCTAATCATCCCTATAGGAAAGGAGTAGGGACTAATGATATTGTCAAACATATCGTGTAACACACTCAAGGTAACTTTAATTAATGCCTTCATATTACCAATAAGACTTCAAATCAAAGGCTAGAATTGACAAACAAATTTTGATCTAAACATATAATTAGGGACAGAAATAAGATTTTTATTAAGAAATAAATTCATATCAATCCCTTTAACTCTATTCTTGATCATATAAAGTTAGTAAAATTCCTATATTAGTGTCATAATTGAAACGGTCGATAGTGTATAATTTGCCTTGTAATTAAGCATGCAAAACAACTTCGAAACAGGCATTTTACCATTTGGTTTGGACCACAGTTTTATCATTTGGATTTGATACGATCAATGTGATGCCTTCAATTCGAACTTTATAAGTCAATTGCTTCAGTACAACTTTTGGGATTACTATATAGTGGCCCTATACTATAAACCTTTTGGTCCCAACTCAATAAATGTAATCCTGATTAATTAATTAGATACGTGTAGATGTACCTAGTTTCAGTTACTACATTTTCCTCCGTCTCGTTATGCTCAATTTTTCTTTTACATGCTCTTTAAGAAAGCATAAGTAAGAAGCGTACCTAAAAAATACTCCCAGAGTAAAAAAGTAGTACATTAGAAAATGACCAAAGAAGATAATAAAAAGTCAATTGTGCCCCTACCAACAAAGTTGAAAATGGTGTGAATTGGGACTTTGACTAACAAATCGAATTGTGCTGGACAAATGGTTTTTGTCCGTGTAAGCAAACTAACCAGCCAATTAGCAAATGACTGCAAATTAATACACAAAATTAATACCTAAATTGATGAATACAGCACATGGTAGTTCATTATCTTGTTCTACATGAAAATGACCTCTCATTTTGTTTTTGTTTTTTTAATGTAGAAGTGAATTGACATGCCTTAATCATATAGAATTAAATTATGTAGTAGAGTACTACTTTTTTTTTATAAGTAATTTTATCTACTTTTACAAGTTTTCCACCACGCTTTGTTCAATGATGAAGTCTCTCAATATTTATATTTATCATCATGTGATAAGGCGTAACTTGAATCCTTGCCATGCCATGACATGATTATTTCTCATCTGTATATAAATTTTATATAATCATTATTTAAAGTTAAAACGCAATAATTAAGAAGATATGACTATTTATAATGTTATCCTCACGAGATCAAATCTCAATGTTACGTTCTTACATCTTAATATGCATTGCAGTTAGATTCTCTTGTTCGTTTGTTAAAATATACATATATACACATATATTATAATTTCATTTACTTTTACAATGTTGATTTTTTCTTTCACACTCCCACTCACTCAAGTTTTTATTTTTTGGTTGGGGTGGGGATTGAAGGGGATCCTCATATCAAAGATCAAGCCTTTCGATTAATTTTGTAAAAATAAAGATATATGTGAGTCATTTTTTTTTATAATCAGAAATATATCTGCTCTAAATTATAATTAAGTTAAAACATATACCAAACCGTTTTTCCTGTATTCAATATTGAATTTTTATTCATCTGCTTTTCTTTTTTACCTTCTAAAAAAACCTAGGTGAACGCATAAACTATTTGGGAGCCGAAGCCAAAACGGTAACTTTTTCCCTCAAACAAACATAAACACTATATCAAAAAAAAATTAAACCAAAAGGGTAAAATTGCTCTTGAGAGAGCGATGTCTTTCGAATAAAATTAACACTGTTTGCGCGCTTTTTTTTAAAAGACTGAAATCGCTGCCCATGCAGCGTTTTTCCTCAAACTTTTTTTTTCCCTTTTTGAAAAACTGAAATCTCCTCAAACTTTTTATTTTGTTTTTGAAAAACTATAATCGCTGCCAGCGATTTCCCTCAAAAAAAAATTTAATTGTTGCTTATTGATTTATAAAAGAAAAGTTCAAATAAATTTTACATGATTTTACCTTCCTTTGTAATGAATCTCATTGTATTTTGCCACCTAGTTGATCCATGAGAACCGCAAACTTTGCTAACAATACTACAGGCACAATTAAAAAGAAAACAAATTGAGGAAAATCGCTGCCCAAGCAGCGATTTCAGTTTTTCAAAAAAAAAAAAAAACGCTGCCCATGCAGCGATTTCAATTATTATTTTTTTGACAAAACCGCTACTTCAGCAGCGATTTTAATCTTTGTTCGAAAGACATCGCTCCCTCAGGAGCAATTTTGCCCTTTTGGTTTAATTTTTTTTGATATATCATTTATATCTTTTTGAGGAAAAAAGTTATCGTTTTGACTTTGGACTCAACTATTTGGTGGTCTTTTTTTGTCGTTGGATTTGGAACTTGGTGGAAATTAGTGGGGTTGCTTTTGACAAATGTTATCCTTACGAGATCAAATCTCAATGTTCTTACATCTTAACATGCATTACAGTAATGTTTTTTGTTCGTTATGTTAAAATATAAATATGTTATAATTTTTTTTCTCACTCTAGTTTTTTTATTTTTGGTTGGGGTGGGGGTTGAGGTCGAAGAAAAAAGGGTTTTATATATCCCTCAATTAATTTTATATTGATAGTGATATATGTGAGTCATTTTTATAAAAAAGGTTATATCAACTCTAAATAATAAAATTGAGAGTATATCGAATCATTTTCCTTATATTCAATTAATATTGCAATTTTGTTCACTGCTTTTATGTCACAGGCATAGACTTCTATCTTTATTAGTGGAAGAAATTTTTGTCATTTGGTTGACTTTGGAATTTAGACTTGAACATATATCTCTGTTTCTTAATACTTTTCCTTTTTAATTTATTTATCTAATTTTAATGTGACATATAATTTTAAATATTATAGAAATTTTTTGAATCATATAATCTTAATTTAAAAATATGTATAGTGTCCTAAATTAGAATATTATTTTATCTTGTAATCTTAAATATATTACTAAAATGTGAATAGAATTTTGGATGGTGATTGGTGAACACATGAATGAATAAAATGAATGAGGAAGAAAAGAGGGAAAGACCTATGGTCAAACCAAAATGCGACTTCCAACTCACCTTTGTCAAATGCAAATTAATTACATTTCTTGTTTGTTGAATTTTACCTTTTAAGATTCTTATTGTTGAATTCATATTTGAAACGATGTATTCAAACCTAATATATATTATAACTTTAATGAATTTTTACTTATATATCTATATTGCACGTTGAAACTATTGGGCTAACCTAACTGCCACAATTATTTACACATGATTTTAAATTTTTATTTCGATATGCAATTTGAATTTTTTAAAATATATATTTTTTTAATAAAACATGAAAACTTCACAATTTGCAAAAACTATCAAAACTTCCTTAACTCTTATACGATCCTACCAAATATCTAAATCATAATCTGTAAACAAGATATCAGAAACATTAATAAATCATGAATCTCTAAGTTTTTTTTTTTTACATTGAAAAAAACTTAGGTCAACGCATAAACTATTTGGAGGTCTTTATTTGTCCATGGAATTGGGACTTGGTGGAAATTAGTGGGGTTGCTTTTGACAAATTTGGCCTCATGAGCCAAAGATTTAATTTTCTTCAATTCCTCTGATTTTGATTTGTTTTGTCGGCCAATTCTATGTTATTGCAATTGAATTGATAAATCCAATAATCGTTCTCTTGATCATTTTTTTTTTTAATCTCTTGATCATAAATACAAC